CATTTTCACTGAGTAAAATGGGTGTTTCCTATTAACTTTGCACAAGAAGTGGTTTAACAAAGACTTTTAGTATCACAGCCATTATTTTTATTGAACCGTATTGAATCGAAAAGCTCACTGTATCGAGATATGTATCGTATCGGCGACTTCTTAATGATACCCAGCTCTAATTGACATTGACATTGAGGAAAGGTTTAGTGTCTCAGGTCTGGTGCCCAAAGTCACTCAGATTGAGCTTGGCCAGTCAGGGGACAGTGTGGTCATGTCACTGTGGAGAAGTCTACGCCACCAGAGGGTTTTGGGTGCTCCTTCTGAGGCTGTGGAAGAGACAACAGCAGCAGAGGTACAAGAGGTCCAAGAAATTTCTGGAAATGCAGAGGTCATTTCACTTGAGAACGAAGGTGAGATGACCAAAGCGGATCCAGAAGAAGACGCCTCGAGCTGTAAATCAACTGATGAAGAAACAACAGGACCTCACGATGAACCAGTTGTTTAAACTGAAAATGACAAATCAACACTGGCAGAACCTGATTCTACTCTCAGTGTGATTGAAGTTCCCCAGTTTGATGAGGTACAAGCAGAGGATGGACCCAAGAACATCACCAAATAGAAGAGAAAAACAAGACAAGAAGAAACGAGTAAGAGCAAAGACAAAGCACAGAAGAAGTTATGTCTACCAGAGGATGAAGGACTTGTTTGAAGATCAGAACACCACAGCAGTGAACATGAACCAGGTCCAGGCCACTCAGGAGACAACACAGACAGAAGCTGAAGTTACCCCAAACATGGAGGTTCAAGAATCCCTGTGTGAGAAGATGGAGATCCACCGCTGCCACCAGAAAGTCTGACAAAGTGTAATAATGGCAAAGTAGGAAAAAACTTACAAAATGTGTAAAAATACTATTAACAGGTAAATACAGGGTGATACTGTACATTGTCTGTTGCCATAGGATGGACAGTGGATGGACTTTAGTGACTCATAACAGCATAAAAGTACGTGGAGCACCTCTGAGCATAAAAGTGATAACATCGAACAGAGAGAGGCTAAAATATCACATCTGCAAGGTGCACAGAAGGAGGCAACATGGACTCTGAGTCAAATAAATATGACAGGACAGGCTTATATTATTGAGCTGTGCTTTTGTAGACGTCTAAAATGCACCACAGTAATACAACAATGCAATACTGTCAATTGAGCTACTTACAGTTTACCCAAAATTTCCCTGGGAAGGACCCCAGACCTAGCCTGATTCATCAGCTGGTTTCACTTTGTAGAAACCGTCTGACCTCGCAGTGTTAGGATTAGTTCGCTCGACAGTCAGCGGGTACTGTTTTTAAAATTTAACCAATCGCTTCTATTTGGTCATGACGTATGTAATGCATCACTAACGGGGCAAAGCTTTTTCCAAATTCCATAGGAAGAAGAGCAATAACGTCTTTCCCCTTGATAAAATTCACCAAACATTCTCTTTGTTCCAGCTTTAAATCCTCGATCTCGGAAATCGTCGCCAACACAGAATGTTTGGCTCTTCGCTGATTTGCTGGTGCCCGAACTTGCACTTCCGGGGTTTTTGCGAACCGTTTATTGTATTTTGATTCCTGACCTAGTCGCTGGAGAGAAATGAAATTGAGCAGAGGCACTAGACACATATTACCACATATTCACTATTCAAATTAAACTAAGTCTTTTTTGCCCTCGAACCGGTCACCCTACATTTAGAAAATAAGTCATAAGCTACCTAACTTTAGCCACGAGTTTTTCATTCAGTCTCTCACTTTTTTGTTGAAAATGAAAACGGTCTGATTAAATCTACTTTGTATTTTTTAGTCGCTGAACATTGCACCAGTAGAGATACATGCAGAACACCCCCAGCATGATGTCACTGCAAAATATCAATATGGCCTATACCGTCTTACAAATCAATAACACCCTACTGCTAACATAGGGCCTTCCACTGAACTCGTTATAAACTGGCCAAACATGAAGGAGATCCTCTCTGCTTACATTTGCTTAATGTATTGGAATAAACACAACTTGCTTGGTCAGGTAGTTTTCCTCCCACATGCAGCCAGCAGCTAAACAAACCATTAAGACTCAGACTCGGGTTTACTGCTCTGCAAAAACAACATCTACGAGACTTAAAAAACGCCATATTACGCTATTTTCTGATCTATTTATAATGTTTTTGCTCATCGTAAACAGACCTGGAGTTGCGTTTTGTTTCATTCCCACATGTTTAACTCACAAATCCTGCATATTTTGGGTTTATTTATTTATTTTTTACACTTTAAACACCTTCACTAGGAACATTTGGATGATTTTGGCCCTGGAATTGCCAAACTCTGCTGAATTAAAGGTAAAGAAGCACTGTGAATGAAACAAAACACACATCCGGGTATGATTTTGATGAGCCTAACAACATTATAACACGTCTTAAAGCTCATCAGAATCAACTTTGTGTATTGTAGGACCTTAAATACAAACTTCACATATCTGGTTTATGTTTATATCTGGTAAATGTTTATCAAAAAGAACAGATGCGGTGCCCATTTTTCAAAGTGACATTTCTACATTTTTGGGCCTTGCCTATATTTAACAGTCTAATCAAATACTTGAACCTCAACCAAAACAATTACAGGCATGTTTAAGCTCATTTCTTACAGGCTGCAGAACACATGACTCATTATCTAATTATTGTTACCAGGAAACTTTCCAATATTGAGATTCTATAGAGCCTGTAATTATCTTTATCGAGAGAATTAAAACAACAAGGACTTGCTTTTTTATCAAGAAAGGCTCATTACCAGTGAATAGTCTATCACAACAAGTAAAAGAATCAAGAAACAGCGTACAAACTTTGTTTATTTTATTTTACAAGAGAGTTAATCAAAGAAACATTAAAAAAGATGCTTTGTACCAGACTATAGCTCTGAACTCATGTCCATCTGCAGTCAAACAGTCCAAAATATCAAAATATCAATATATCTTATTGTTTAATGTGATGATACAGTATTGATATCGTGGGCTGCTGTATCAATATATCGAGTATTTTTTGGTATATTTTATTAAATTATTGTGTTACAGAGCTACAGTTTTGTTGCTTGTTCAGAGGAAGGAAACTTGTTCATGCGACACATTTAATATATTCACTGTTTTGATTATTAACATGGGCTTTTTTCATATAAACTTTGCACAAGAAGTGGTTTAACAAAGACTTTAAGTATCACAGCCAGGATTTAAACATTATTTTTTATTGAACTGTTTTGAATCGATTTGAAATATATCGTATCGAACCGAAAGTGCACTGTGTCCAGTTATGTATCGTATCGGCAGCTTCGTAATGATCCCCAGTTCCCTCAGCCGTATCTTCCCTGATTTCTCAGTTTGTATAATTTCCTTTATCATCAGTTTGCATCAGATTTTATCCCCATTTCTCCAAATTTAGTCGTCAATTACACCCAAACTATAATCCATACAAGCAGAAAGTCTTGTAAGAGGACAGGGCTTAAATTATAGGGTAATGTCAGAACACAATACTGAGGATGGGGGTTTAGCTCGAGGTCATGGTGCAAAGGACTCTAGGTTAAAATTACTCTGAATTGTCTCTTTAAATGCAGTATAAATTTAGAGTTTCATTTTGAGGAAAGTCTTAGAAATAGGAAAAATCTGGAAATGAGGGAACATAGGGCTGACCCTGCATAAAACACGCCAATTTATTAGGGATGTAACGATATCCAAGTCTATATTATCATGATATGCATCTCATGGTACGATATTTATTGTGATCATTTGGAGAGGTTAGGATAATTGTAAATGGGACACTTTTTTCCTTTTAAAATACCTTGACAAGATTTTGGTGTGAATTATTTCTGTCATAATCCCAAGAATTCAAGTAAAAAACATATTTCTTCATGTTTTCTGAAAATAAATAAATAAAATAAATAAAAAAAAACAACAGTTTTCTTCATTATTTGTCTCCAAAACCAAAATGAAAAAAAAAACCTGACATTTCGTTTTTTCACTTTTTCATTTTGTGTTTAAATAAATAATGGAAAAAACAGATAACGGCCGTTTCCAGTTTCCATGACTTAAACTGTGACGCTGAACTGAACCAGGAATGAATCAGGACTGAAACAGGTCCGGGACCAGACCAGCACTGAGTCTGGACGAGGACTGAGACTGGGACTGAGACCGGGACTGAGACGGAGACCAGACCAGAACTGAGACTGGGACTGAGACTGAGACTGCAGGCCGGGACCAGACCGGGCCTGAGACCAAGACTGAGACCAGGACTGAAACTGGGCCTGAGACTTAGACCAGACCAGAACTCAGACCAGAACTGAGACCGGGAACAGGACCAAGACTGAGACTGGGACTGAGACTGGGACTGAGACTGGGACTGAGACCGGGACCAGACTGGGACCGAGAAGAGAATGGACCAGACCGAGACCGGCACTGAGACCGGGACCAGACCGGGACTGAGACCAGACCATAGGACCAGAACTGAGACCGGGACTAAGATCGGGACCAGACCAGGACTGAAAAAGGTTTAGTCCTGGTTTAGTCCTATTTTAGTCCTGGTTCAGTCCGTATGGGTCGCAAAAGTCCTGCATCACAGTTTTAGTCACGGAAACTGAAACATTATCCGATTTTTCCATTATTTATTTAAACTGAAAAAACAAATCATTATCTGTTTTTTCCATTTTGGTTTTGGAGACAAATAATGAAGAAAATAGTTGTTTTTTCATGTTTTTATTTTCAGATTCATAATGAAAAACGCATGAACGACTGACACACGGGTTTAGCTGTTCAACCTGTGTGTCCTGATGAGATTTGTCCAAAGCAGGCTGCATTATAGTCGAGTACAAAGCGCTGCTCTGGTGTTATCTCGCCTGTTGAAGTTTGTCACATTTACAGCCTGTTTACACTGACTCAACCTCCGCTCCTCCGTCCCTCCACCCGCCTCCTGCTCGCACTTTACCCGCTCTCTCCTCTCTCTCAGTCCGCCGTCACTCCCATCGTGTCCGGGGACTACTCGCACCAGTACGGGCTCCATCAGCGGGACAAGGCGGCCATGGCAGTCCGCATCTCCTTCACTCAGGTCCGGGTCGAAGCGGAGCTGGAGCGGTACCGGGCCGAGTGCCAGTGGGAGCGGATCCCGGCGGCGGTGGAGCACATGCTGGCGGCGCGCATACACGAGGACGGTGAGTCAGTCCCGAGCACCTTTCAACACCTTTACCTGCAGTTTTACCTGGAGTTTGGAGAGTTTGGGGAAAGTTTGTAGTAGCGCTGCGTCAACTGCGATTGTTTTGTGACGCGATCGTAAAGATGTTGCGATTGGATTTGCGACGTAATGTTTAGAAAGTGGGATTAAATGTCAAAGTCCGCATTCATAGCGTAAAGGTGTTATATTACGTCCTATGTACAGGGTTCCCACGGTCATGGAAGTTTGTGAATTGAATGACAGTTTTGGAATTTTATCCAATCCAATCCACATTTCGCAAGCAAACTGTTTACAAAGTGCTGCACAAATACATAATAATAACAATAATAAAATAACTATACTAGTCTTAAAATAATAAAATCAGTCAAATAAAATAAGAGCAAAGTTATTGAATAGCAATAAACCAATAAAAATACATTAAAAATGATAAAATAAATAAAAAACACAGAGGTCCACACAACTCACGCGGTGTTAAAAGCCAGAGAATAAAAGTGGGTCTTAAGATGAGGCTTAAAACGTTTTAAGTTTTAGTATCTCTTTCAGGCAATTACAGCTTCCTGTTAAGTTATCATTAGGATATTATGATTATTTCCAAACGTATGCGCTTTTTGTTTTAAAGAGATGAAAATAAATGCACTGATAGTATTTTGAATGATAAAAAACTATAATACCAAAGCGTAAGGTGAGTGGAAAGGGTTAACATTTCATATTTAGCCCTAAACGTTTGATCAGTTCTATGTAGGTGCCATAAAGTCATGGAAAATTCACTTTAGGTCATAAAAAAGTTTAGAAATTTTGTGGGAACCCTGAATATTTGGCATGTTATAATATTACTGTTGTTGTCAAAAACATAACCTACCTGGAGTTGTGTTTTGTTTCATTCACACATGTTTAACAGTTTAACACTTTATTATTAGTCTGTCTACATCTCCAAAGCTCAAAATGCTCTGTTCCACCTCGTGATGTCATGAAGCTGTCGTTTTAAAGTTAAGAGCTACTTTTTATCTTATTTGCAGTGTGTGTGAATGAAACAAAACACAACTCCAGGTGTGTTTGTGATGAGGAAACATTATAAGCGTAATATAGGCCCTTTAACATCTGGTTTTGATCATTTTGTTGAATATTAAGTGATTATAGTGGAAATTCTTAATGACCTCACAGCTTCCATTTACTTTATGTACAGTAGAGATTGGCAGTCTCAGCGCTAAAATAATCCAAATGATTCTAAGGAAGGTATATCTAGTCTGTATGTCTAGTACATGACATCACAAGGTGGAACAGAGTGTTTTCAGTTTGAGAGAAGAACTCAGCCTAAGTATGCAGGGGTGTGTGTGGAAACAACATTATAACATAGATCAGAAAATAGAATAACATGCCCTTTAATAACTGCGCTCCTTGCAGTGTGGTGGGCCTAACTGTGCCAAGTCAAATTGCGATTTTAATCTGATTGAGATATAGGCTATTGTGCAGCCCTAGTTTGTAGAACATGGCTAATTTTGTTATCTAGGCTAAGCTATTAGGCTGTATAAATGATTCACATGAGCCAAACAAAACTGTGACATTAATTTCATATATTAAAGGTGCTATATTACCGTATTTTCCGCACTACAGGGGGCACTCAAAAGCCTCCAACCCCTTCAAAAAACAATCCAGAGCGCCCTATACACGAATCCACTCGGGTGTCCCAGCACGACTTCAGTAAACTACAAAGCCGCACCCAGAACACGCAAACACACACGGAGCAGACAGCGACCGCACAGCGAAAAACACCCACAGACACACTCATCACTCCACGCCGATGAGGAACGAACCGAAAAAGCGAGTGCAATGTGCCACTTCTAGACACAACTGAACAACTGAGTCACTGCGAACACGCCAACAATCCAGCGATCCCAGACAGCACCCTCCCTACACGCCACAACTGAACAAAGCCCAGAGTCACCGTGAACGCCACAAACAAAGTCCCACTGACCCATCCAACTGTTGTGTTTCGTTTAAAATCCGGTGCGGTTTATTTGTGAAAAAAGTTCGAAAATTGACCATTTAATGACAGTGCGCCTTATAATCCAGAGCGCCTAATAGTCCGGAAAATACGGTACATAAAATTTACTCTTGTGAGCTTTAAGCCACGTGAGAATGTTACCTCATCAAAAACCTACCTGGAGTTGTGTTTTGTTTCATTTACAGTATAAATAAGTACACTACATTTGAGTAATCCTAAATTATTAGTCTGTCTACATCTTCAAAGCCCAAGTTTCAAGTTAAGAGTTACCTCATTTCACCTTCTGTGCAGTAGAGGTTGTCAAATCCAGAGCTAAAGTTACACAAGTGACTGTAGTAGTAGATGAAGAATGGAGTTTAAACACACAGCGGTGCACTTCCTGTGTCACCACATGACATCACAAGCTGGAACAGAGTGATTTCTGTTTGAGAGAAGAGCTCAGCGTAAACGTGCAGGATTTGTGTGTTAAAAATGTGTGAATGAAACAAAAGACAACACTATAACATCAATCAGAAAGTAGCGTAAAATGGACCCTTTAACATTTGGTTTTGATTATTTTTGTTGAATATTAAAGGATCCCAGCTCCCTTTTGCTTCTCTGTGCAGAAACTCAAACAAAGTAGTCCTTCCTGAAGGTTATTTTAGGTGTCATTTTACCTTTTTGTTACAGCATGTTGTTTATACTGTTGCCGTAGCCTAGGACCTGGTATTATGACATTGCTACTGGCTACAGTCTACTCTATTTACATCCTGTGACGTAAGTGAACAGAGTCAAAATATGATCTCTTCTGACCCACTATTTACACCTAAAATCTCTCAATAACAAATAATCAGACAAGTGAGTGAAGTCTTTCGATCAGTTATAAGTCTGAGTGGCAGGTTTGCATCAGGTAGGGCATCTGGTATAAAACACAGATGTAAAAGTGATGTATATTGGATAGTTTCTATGTGCAACAACATTGCAAAACCACATCTTTATCTGAATTCACAACATTAATGCTGATTAGAGTTAAAGTTGCACATTTTCTGCTTGTCTCTATAGACCTGTTTTTGCTTTGCGAAGCTCAGGAGTCACCAAAGTTTTTTCTCTGGGGCCCACATCGCTCCTGACTGTGATGGGGACCGGGGTCGGGTCGGACGTATAACAAAAATATATGACCCTGACGACGCAGATTATATTCTTAGAAAACCGCCACACATTCTTTACATATCAGACAAACTGTACGGTCCTTACACTGAACAAAAAAAAAATGGGTCGTCCAGTGTTCTTTGAAAACTCGGCACTCTTATTTTTACATGAGTCATTTTGCTGTCCTTAACTGCACTACAGAACTCACGGTTTGATCTCAAGCTTGTTAAGTGACGAAAATTTGGCGGCAAATGTAAATACATCATATAATTAAATATAAATACTTCATATAAATATAATGTTTTAATTGAAAAAAATCAACAAAATACAAGATGTCGATGTGTTATTATTTGCCGAAAAGTAATTACCTCATAGGGCCAGTTCAAGCGGTGCGGGGAGCAGAGGGACTGGGCGGCTGGTCAAACGGGCGCGAAGGACCGGAGTCGACCCACGAGCCTTAGTTTGATGACCCCTGGCCTAGAATGTTCCACACTATGACATTAAACATATTTATATTCATGGAGACAAGCAGGTGACACCACAATGCCAAGTAATCAAGTAAGTCAGATTTGTGGAGAAGCAATCCCGCTTATAGGAAAAACAGTAATTGAATAAATGCAATACTTTGGAACATTACGAAGTGTCAGAAACTCCTATCGTTACAGTTATACAGCGTACATTTAGGATAAGGTTTAATTGTTTAGGTCAGGGGTGTCAAACTCAAATTCACACAGGGCCAAAATAAATATTTATTGAAAAATTTCAACATCTTCTGGTTTTCTCTTCTTTTGAGATATGTAATATTAATCCTTTTCTTATTAAAATGAATGTTTAATAATAGTTTTGCTTAAACACTGAATCCAGAACAAGTATAATATAAAATAATCACAAAATTTTGAATATATAATGTCTCTATAGTCTATCTGTAGCTGGTGAGCAGCTTTAATACATGTTTGATATGATCTCGCGGGCCAAATATAAGTATATCTTGGGCCAAATTTTGCCCCTGGGCCTGAGTTTGACATGTCTGACATAAAATGTATGTATTTTTCCTTTGTCATGGATTCTTCCTGGACGACTGAAGGATTTTTCACATGTTTAATTGTTGGATTTTCAGATAATTAAGCTTAAAATTTGAAGATAAATAAATACATTTTTCTCACCACACTATTAATAAAAAGAGTAGCTTTGTTTTGCAACTACAGACATCTCGAAACAAGTTAAGCAACAGAATCTAAGATAAGGAATTTCAGGGTAACATTCTATCCCTGGGTGTCAAAACGATGAAAGATTACAACTGTTTCCATGGCAATTAACAAATAAAAACAACATTTTAAACGGGAAAGTCCCCAGCCTATAACAGGAAACTGAAACCCATGAATAATGAGATATTTTCATTTTTGCAGCGTGAACGTTTTTAGCCGCAGCGTTCTTCAAACCAATATGGACACGCTCACTTTTCGGAAACCACTGATCAACTTCCTTCCTTCCTTTTATTATATCGAATGTTTACATGTGGAAGTTCACGTTTTCATCTGCTAATTTATAACTCCATTCTTCTATTCTTTGAAAATGAGCTACGATTTGGACGTTTGGAAGCCTTGAATGAGCTCGTTTCAGTAAAGTGAAAGTCTTTTTAAACATATCTTGCGTGACTGACATGTGGTTTTTAATCTCGTTATAAATGTTTACTTAAAGTGCCATTTAAACACCGTCGAGCGCAGAGTGGTGCAGAGGTATTCACAGCTACATTAACCTTGAGTGGAGCCGGACTTTGGACCTTCTTTGCGATAACGACCAGCTGAAATAAAAGCTTTCCAGTAACTCATTTCACCAAGAAAAACATTCAC